AAGATCCCGCACCTGAAAAGAGATTGCCAAGTTGGAATCCAGACGAACACTGCAAGTACCATCAAGGTAGGGGTCATACTACTGAGAGCTGTTGGAAGCTAAAGGAGGCTATCCAACATTTGATTGATAATAACAAGCTTCCCATGCCTCCAGTTAACAAGAAGACTGGGTGATGATGAAGCAAATGACACAAGACAAGAGGCGAGCTGCAACGACAAGATTTCGTGACCTCTTTTTCTATTTCTTCTTCTTTTCCTTTCCCCAATAAGTCTAGCATAGGCACCTTTTCTTTTCTTTTAGATTAATAGGATTTTTTCCTTTTTCCCTTTTTAATAAAATGAGCATTATTTCCTTGAATATGATCATTTCATTATATTGCATAAAAAAAAAAATCCATGTCGAGCTAAGCACAAGGTATACCAATGATTTGAGGCACCCCTTGTAGCCACATCATATCTCCTTTCGCCTTTCAATTTACACATCCTTTCTTCATAAACCACTTTGAGCCTCGTCTAACGATAGACCCTTCTTTTTTCAACCTACATCTACCTAACCTTGGGATGGGATGGCGTGCAACTTATGCAATTCTAAAAGAGCTTGAGCAAATTCAGAAGGAAGCAATAGCAAAAAATAAGCAATAATAAAAAACGAAAACAAGTGTACAAAAGGGCAAGTGTTCCAATGTCTTTGATATGAAAATATCTTCGATAAGAACACGTCTCAAATTGCGTCTCTTATCAAGTGATCGGTACCGTGCCTGAGAAACATGAATGCCAAGTGAGTGATAGACCGCATGATCGAGATTGCCCACACTTATAAAAATAAAAAAAATGCTAAAGCAAAAAGAGCTAAAAAAGAATAGAAATTCAAGCATGAAAATACAAAGATTCAAAAGCGAGGTTGCACACCTTGGGGGCTTATCTAGGGTCTTGAGCCTTTATCCCCTTCTTCTTCAATCCTTTAGCCTAACCACGTTACAACCCTTAAAAGACTTTTTGAGGTACACACACTTGTGCGAGGTCCGGCTAGAGCTACGTTCGGCCTGATTCCTAACGGATACGTAGGCAACCTCACATCGAGGTGCGGTCGTAATAAACATGCATTCATATTCACATTCACACACTTGCACCATGATCATATCAAGGAATTCCCTATGATCATCCCTATTCGTTTAGAGCTAGACTTGGGGGCTTGATCCTTATATCATTAGCTTGCCTAGCCTAAGAGTCACCATTATTTGGCTCTTCTAACAATAATATTTTTCCACACACTTAGCTCTTGCGGCCTAGCTTTAGTGTCACTTTCACACACCGCACAGATACATGACCAAATAGTCTTTCCCTTAGGAACCCTTTGTCATGAAATCTTAACACAACATTGAAGCATGCCTTATCGCTCATCACTCATAATCATCATTGCATCACAAAGTATGAAGTGCTTAGCCTCCGTGCCTAAGTCACCCAAATACTTTCATTATGGAGTCAACAGTTGAGATAGCCTAGGATGAATTAATCCTTGCACCTTGAGAGATAGCATCAAACAACATTTGACTAAGCTCATTCAACATGCATCTTCAAACTTCACTTTTGATTCTTTTTCGCGTTTTTCTTTTTCGGGAGAAAGTCGGTACCCTCCACAAAAATGACGGAAGATTTTTGCTTTTTTGCATTTTTTTTCGAGTCGCACGATCACATTACAATGCACACACGAGTCATGTCATGCCATATCACTTTGATTTGAGTCACACGTGTCTTTTCACTTTGAGTCGAGTCAACCTCGAGTCAATCACAGCGAGTCAAGTTTATACCTTGAGTCGTGTCAAGTCGATGAGTCAAGCAATGCTAAACCTTAGGTCAACCCTAAGATGATTAAAGAGATTGGAAAAGTTCTATAGTTAAAATAAATACAGGTGCAGCACAACAGGGAAAACCCTATCGCAGCGTTCGCAACGAACAGAGTAAGAAATAAAACGGCAAACTGAATTTAAAGAAGAATCCGTGCCGGCGCCAGTCCCTAGACATTGGCGTCACTTTCTGTGCTTGGCGCCAGACACCAATTCCAGTGCCTGGCGCTAATGCCATATGTTTGGCGCTGATTGATTTTCAGCGACGCCAAAGCAGCCAGCCACCTGTTGGGGTTGTGCTAGCCTTCTGCAATATATTTTGGGTTCCTTGGTACGCCAGTTAGCCCCTATAAGCAATATTGACATGATTGAGTAGTCGATTTGGTTACAGCAGCAAATAAGTGATCGACCTGATGAAAGATCGTCTCACTTAGCTTAAGGCGCCTAAGAATTGGCTCATTAACAAAAGGCACCGACATACTGGTTCATTCGCAAAAGGACATCGACGTATAGGTTCAAAACAACTAGAGCGCCGACGTACAGGCATAGCGGAAGAAAAGTTCGAGCGAGCTTTAAAGATCGACAAGTGTTGGTCTTCGGTATTTTTCCGTTGGGGAAATTATCGCATCAATTGAGGATGACTTCAAGTAAATTTATTTTCGACGGCATTCTCTAAGATTGTGGAAGTTGTCACAGATTTGAGAAGATAACACGAGATGGGCAGTCTTCGACGGCATTCGCTAAGATTGTGGAAGTTGTCACCCAAGATTTGAGAAGATAGCACGAGATGGGCAGTCTTCGACGGCATTCGCTAAGATTGTGGAAGTTGTCACCAAAGATTTGAGAAGATAGCACGAGATGGGCAGTCTTCGACGACATTCGCTAAGATTGTGGAAGTTGTCACCAAAGATTTGAGAAGATAGCACGAGATGGGCGGTCTTCGACGGCATTCGCTATGATTGGAAAGGTTGTCACTATGATTCAAGAAAAGGCTCAAGATGTAGCAACATTGATCGACGGCGTTCCCTAGATTGCGGAAGATCATCAAAACAAACGGTAAGGTGGCGTTCCCTAGATTGCGGAAGATCGTCAAAACAAACGGTAAGGTGGCGTTCCCTAGATTGTGGAGAGTTGTCACAAACAACTGAGGATTGTTTCAAGAGAAGCAATCTTCGATAGTATTCCCTTGGACGTGGAATGTTATTAATGCGGATGAGGATTGTTTCAAGAGAAGCAATCTTTGATAGTATTCCCTAGGATGTGGAGTATTATCATTGCGGAGGAGGATAGTTTCAGGCGAAGCAATTTTCTATATTGGAAGCAGTTACGGGCGTAGCAGTTTTCAAGCGGGATGGCGTTCTCTAGCTTGCAGGAGGTCATCAAAACAGATCGGTTACTTTCAGAGACGTGTGCTCGATGGTGCAAGATACGCGTTTCTTAACTCTGTTATCTGTTTAACTAACATTGTTTTGCAGGTATCGACGTTATAAGATTGATTTAGGATCGCAGAACGTTCTGAATCATTCTCCGTCCCTATCGATACTTTGACTTTTGTTTTCGAAACTTGCGTTTCTCCAAACTCAGTCAAAGTGGGGGCTTCTGTAGACACCCATTTGTGTCTCCCCAAAACCAAACCCAGTGATGAGTGCCTTTCACGTCGAATCATAATCGAATGAAACGAAAGTGTGGAAAGGTTTAGTGTTGCGGAAAGTTTTATTTTCTTTTCTTTTCTTTTCTCTTCTCTCTGTTTTTGAAAACTTTATTTTAAGAAAACAGCCAATCCAGTTTGGTTGGTCCATGATATGGGTCCAATAGTGGTGTAGTTGGATGGGGCTTGCAAAGACCTTTCCAACGATATATTATTTTCCTTGAAGTTACTAACGTGTGTATTTTGTAATTAGAAAGAGGTACGAGGCATCCAAGTAAGTACTTTATTGATTAATTGATATTATGATGTAGATATCATGTTTATATTGTTATTATGATATTCCTAGTATCATGTCTAGGGTATCTTTAATATCAAGCATGATTAAAAGTATGACGCTTCCTATGTTCTTTCTAACATTTACGATTATGATTGGTTGTTGGATATTTATTATGTTTATTGATATGCATATTATTTTATATTGTTATTGCTTGGTCACCTTTTATTGCAGGTTAAAGGAAATTGGTATTTGCAATCACGCTTAATAAGATAATTAACAATCTTGTTAGGGCTAATTTGATTTAAATTCAAGTGATCACCAATAATAGTTTATTTGTGCATTAAATTCAACCAACATAGATTAAACAGGTTTAGGGTTAATCCTATTGATTGTATGTTAATCAGAAAGTGCACATGAATACGAGCAGAATAAAGTAGAGGCCTATTATTAGGGCAGGTTCAATCTCTTTTAGGTTGGATTTGTACCTTCATCCCCGGACCCTTATTTGGTTCACGACCTTATGGAGTTGGCGATCTCTTGGATCGTTAAGGGGTGTAACCTTCACCTCGTGAACGGTTTACAAGTTCCTTAAAAACTTGTTGGCGACTCTTTTGCTCTATCTTCTTCCCTTTTGGACGCCACCGTACTTCAGTGTATGATCACAGTGGGGTTCCAGCTAGTGGGATTTTTAAGGCTTAAAATTATTCCCTACAGAACTGAAATTTCAGAACTGATCGGAACTGTTCAAAACTGATCATAACTGAAATTTCAGAACGGATCAGAACTGATCGAAACTGATCAGAACTGAAATTTCAGAACTGATCGGAACTGATCAGAACTGAAATTTCAGAAATGATCGGAACTGAAATTTCAGAACTGATCGGAACTGATCAGAACTGAAATTTCAGAACTTACCGCAATAGATTAGAACTAATCGGAACTGATCAGAATTGTAATTTCAGAACTGATCAGAACTATAATTTCAGAACTGGTCGGAACGGATCAGAACAGATCGGGACTGATTAGAACTGACCGGAAAAGGCCTCAATTTTAGCAAATCCCATTAAACAACGCAGGAAGCAGGAAATGAGCAATAAACAGAAAAGGCCTCCCATTAAACAATGCAGGAAATGAGCAATAAACAGAAAAGGCCTGATCACTGATCAGCTCAAAAGTATAAACAAGTAACTGAAAAAAAAAAACTATACTTGGTTACTTAGAACAACACTTACAATAGCATTGGCTTTTTGCTGGGTTTCGGCATTTTTTGGGTCTATAGCCCACGATCCATCTGCATTACGAGTTTGACGGGCCAAAATCCAATAAAGAGACCGTTTAAGCTTTTCAGTCATTACACAGCTTGTTGTGGACTCTGTGGTGCTTGAGGTTGAAGATTCTGCTGGAATTCTATTGGTATTACTCCAATCAACTCGAGCCCTCTCATAACTCTTGGAGCCTAGATGGTGGCGATGCTTATTATTCTTTGCATTTTCCTTGCCTTTTTCACTCAGAGCCTATTACAAAATGGAAAGCTATTGTAAGTAGTATTGTAGTTGAAATAAAGTATATATGTGAAAAATACTTTCAGAATATCTTACACACCTTAAATTCATCTGTATTGCAATATTTCTCAAAATCTTTCCATTGCTCTTCTGTGATGTAACCTTCATAAAGCTCCCAAGGCTTAATGTTTGCACTTGGTGAGTCAAGCGGAGGTGCAGTTTCCTTAGTAATGAATCGTGAAACTAACCGAGACTTGTGCTTCCTAAATCTTGCACCAACAGCTTCGTGGAACTTCTTCTCTTTACTACCCTTGGGATCATAAATGTGGAACTTCCGCTACAAAATTAGAGAATGTTAATATTCATAATTAATTATAAGTATCGTTAAATTTAGAGCAGTAAACCATATTTATATCGTAATTACCTTACTCTCCTCCCACAAGTTTTGCTTTTGAACTTTATCATACTTCGGATATCCCTTCACATTAATGTTAACTCTTTGAGCACAATTACTAATTTGCTTCCCATAAGCAGATTCCCACTTTCCAATAGGCATGTCAAACTCATCAAATTCGAGGAACATGGGTGTAGTTGTTTGGACTGATCTGGACGGGCCTCGTCCCTTTTTTGTAGAAGATTTTACTTGGGAAGTGGAGGCATCCATGTCACCAGATTGTTCCTGTCCATCATGATCATCTCTGCTTTCTTCCATTGTAGTATGCCTACACCTACACAAAGAATGAAATTAACAAGAATAGAATCAAAATCATAACAATAAAATCATATTACTGTAAATACTATACAATAAAGAAGTTAATGATTTAGATATATACCAATTTAATAAATTCAATATTAATTGCAAAAAAATACTATTGTTAAAGGAATAGAATAACACAAACCTTGGTTGTAGTTATAGGAACCACTAACCCTTCCTCACGATCATACTCTACATCACCAACAATATCTTCCCCTTCTTGTAGAGGTTGCACTCCCATTGTTATAGGCGGGATGTCATCAAATTGGTCACTCTTCTTCATCCACAACATCTTCCACACCCACAATTTTTCTCTTGCCTTCAACTACAACACCCCATTGCGGATCTATATTATCCTTGATGTTGAATACTTGTTTCGATTGTAAGGCTAATACAAAAGGCTCTTCACCATTAGTATAACGACTAGAGTCAACCAAGGTGAATCCAAATAACTCATCGGTTTTCATACCACGACGGTTATCAGCCCATTTGCAACGAAATAAAGGAATTGTGAAATCAACATAATCCAACTCCCAGATTTCTTGAATGACACCGTAGTATTCAGTAGAAGATGCAACCACGACAACACCACTATTTTGTTGCACACTTTTTTCATCTTGACGACAAGTGGCAAAAGTAAATCCATTTATATCGTAACCCTCATAAGTATACACAAGTGGTTGTGGACCTCGTGAAAGCCACTTGATCGTTTCAGAAACATTCTCATCTCTACTCAATTCAAGCTTCACTTGGCCTTCAAAGTGGTGATTATGCTCCTGCATCAACGCATAGGAGTTGACCCTGGGATTGTGAATTTTCAACTCATGAAGATGTTTTTCAATATATGGATGAACTGCAGATAGGTTTTATAACACAAATCGGTGGGCTTTCTTATATCGATAAAGTGGAGGTTTAACCAATTTCCGACCTACTTTACCCTTTCCTTGAAGTCTTCCCTCGTGACGAGAAGTCGGAATCCCAATTTCTTTAGCCTTAGCTAAAAATACTGAACAATAGTTCCCTGCTTCCTCTGCTATGAACCCTTTCACGATGCTCCCTTCAGGATTTGCTCTGTTCTTTGCCTTATCTGCCAAAGTACCCATTTGCCTCTCATAAGGGTACATCCAACGCATAAATACAGGACCGCACTCCTTTATCTCATGAGGCAAGTGCATAACAAGGTGAGTCATTATGTCAAAAAAGGAAGGAGGAAAATACATCTCGAATTTGCATAATGTTTCAACAATATCATATTCCATATCGTCGAGTGTTTTTGGATCTATCACCTTATTGCAAATTGCATTAAAAAACAAGCAAAGCTTCACAATAGCATGCCTAAAATGTTTTGGCAAAAGGCCTCGGAGTGCAATTTGGCATGAACACTTGCATCATCACATGAAAATCATGGGACTTCATACCAACAACTTTCTTATCAGTAGTAGAAACAAAACGCCTTATGTTCGACGAATACCCTGTCGGCACCTTGATTCCTTTCAAACACTCACAAAAGATCCTTTATTCTTCTCTAGACAATGTATAACACGCATGGGGCAAAAATGCTTTTTTCGTTGCTTTATTTTCCTCAGCCCATAACTTAGGTCGAATTTTGGCTTCCTTCAAGTCTCTACGCACATTATTACCATCCTTTATCTTTCCTTTGATATTCAACAAAGTCCCAATTAGTGCCTCACAAACATTTTTTTCAATGTGCATAACATCAAGACAATGTCGAACCGACAAGTGCTTCCAATAAGGAAGATCCCACAACTTAGACACTTTTTTCCACAACACACCCTTCTTCGGTATCTCTCTGTGCATCTTACCGAAGATTGTCTTAACATTTTTAATTTTCTCATACACTTCAATTCCTGTCAATGGCTCACGACTCACTCCCTTCTCAACATGCCCGTCGAATTGTTGTCTCATCTTCCTGTATGGGTGATTTCGACGAAGTGATCGTCTGGTATGCATGTACACATTCTTCCCCCAACGCTTCAAGCGTGTAATTTGCATGCCATCCTCACAAATAGGGCATGGTTTTTGTCCTCTGACTTCGTACCTTGACAAATTTCCATATGCAGGAAAGTCATTAATAGTACAAAACACCATGGCTCTTAATTTGAAATTTGTACCCGAAAGAGCATCAAATGTCACAACATCTTCATCCCACAACAGTTTCAAATCGTCAATAAGGGGCTCCAAATAAACATCTATCTCATGGCTAGGTTGTTTAGGACCAGGGATTAGAAGTGATAACATGATGTACTTGCGCTTCATGCACAACCAAGGAGGTAGGTTGTATATTGACAGAAGAACAGGCCATGTACTATGTTGACTACTAAGAGTGCTAAATGGATTCATCCCATCCGTACTTAATGCCAGTCTTATGTTCCTCGACTCCTTCCCAAATTCTGGAAATGTCTTGTCAATGTGTTTCCATTGCAACGAATCAGCTGGGTGTCTGATCAACCCATCCTTCTTCCTCTCATTTTCATGCCAAACCAACTTCTTTGCTTCATCCTTAATTGAGAACAGGCGCTTCAACCTTGGTATTATAGGAAGATACCATACTACCTTAGCTGGTGGCCACTTCAAGGGATCCTTATTTAAGCCCTCTCGCTTGTATCGTGACACACCACACTTTGGGCAAGCATCCAATTTTGCATTCTCCTTTCGATACAGCACACAATCATTAGGACATGCATGGATCTTGGTGTACTCTAAACCCAATGGACACATCAACTTCTTCGCATAGTAAGTCGACTTAGGAATGTCATTTCCTTCTGGAAACATATTAAAGAGGGTTTCCAACAACAAAGTGAAACTAGTGTTGGTCCACCCGCTCTTCGCTTTCAAGTTATATAAATTTGAAATCCCAGAAAGCTTGGAATACTTAGAACAACCAGGATACAACGGTGTCTCAGCTGCTTTCGACACATTCTCATATATATGAGAATCTTCATTAACATGATCGCCTAACCCGTCTATCATCTCTTCTATCCTGTCTTCCTCAACATCATCATTAAAACCCACTTCATTATCATCAAAACCATTCGGCTCTCTCTCATCAGCTTCATTGTCGTTAATAGTCGTTAATAGAAGAATTATCCGCGGGAGGAAATTTTTCACCATGCCAATACCAAATATTGTATAGTCTAGCATAAACCCACGAATAATCAAATGGTCCTCTATTTTCTTAATGTCTTCCCACCTCTTCACATTGTTACAATCATGACAAGGGCAGAAAATAGGTCTTGCTTTGGTTAGCCTTTGTTCAACGAGTGTACTCCATTGGTGTTGAACTGCGATTCTACAGAACTCGTTAACCCCGGCTAAGTATTCAGGTGTGGTTCGAGAACCACTATACATCCAACGACGGTCCATTTCCAAAAATGTATGATTAAAACCCAAGAAACAAATTATATTCAACATCACATATCAACACATTCCAAATGCATGATTCCAAAGGTCCTTATCGCTCCAACCTAACCCATCCTTGGAAGTGTATTCTCACTAGCAAATGGTTGACCATTTTTCGGCCCTAAGGAAATTTCGGCAGCATTTCCCTATGGTTCTCAAAGTACACGATGTAATTAATTTCTTAATTACATATGTACCCTGAGAACAAATTAGGGAATGCTAACAAAAAATTACCTTTACTTCCGAAAAACAAGCAACCATTTACATCCTAAGTAAGAATACAATTCCAAGAACAATCCCAAACGGGGACTATTCAAGATTTACTCCTAATGAGTAAATCTTGAACGGGTATCTAGGCATATGAAAATATAATGCATAATAAATATTAACACATTCAAGATCAATCATGTCAAATAAAAGTAACCAAACACATAAACATGAGTTATTTACCTAACAAAGAAAATTTGATATTTGATGCAAATAAATTATACACATACAATAAAATAGACCAACCATGAAACTATACACTAAAAGTATCTATATAAAGTAAAACATACTTCAAAATTTCCAAATGCGAGAAAAATATTCACCTCTACCTCTAATTCTTAGGAATTCGTCACATAAATATCAAGCAGTTATAGCTCTCATCTTTGGTACATCAATCCAACGGCAAAAAAAAGGAGAAAAATTGCTCGAAGCCTTAAAATTGTTTGTAAGAAAAGAATCCCAAGCCGTTCGCAGGCTTTCATTAACCATACAATGAGAAAATTATTTTCTACAAAAGAAGCATTTTTTTTATAATTCAACTAGAATGAAAAAAAGGAGACAAGTAACCTAAATCCCTTTCATTAAACTATGGCTACCAAGAACTCATTATATCCTCAAATCTTTACAACGATATAGTTATATAGCAGATGCTAAAATCCCAACAGATTTTACTCCGTAAGAAACAATAATTCTGTTCCTAAGCATTACCCAGCTAGCCATAAACAACATCGATTTGATGCCGATCATTGCAAGATCACAATAAAACCCAATTGAACCTCAAATACGAGAATCCGAAGACAGATATAATCATTGCAACGTCACAATAAAACCCAGGTGATCCTCAAATACAGCTCACAACAATCATCACCAGCTATATTATATAATAAACAGAAAATTTCATCAATTTGATAATTTCAATAATCAACAACCTTAAACAAATTAACTCTTTCTTTATTCATTATTATATAATAATTCACAAACAAATATATAAAATTAAGAATTCCAACTTTCCCACTTCACGGTATCAACTCGGCTCCCCACTTCTAAAATCAACATCAATTATCCAAAAATCCACTCAAATTCATAACAAACAAAATCAAAAACTCAAGCTCAAATTCAAATTCAAATTCAAAAAAGAAAAAAGAAAAAAAAAATACCTGGATTCTTGAGTTTCGAGAAGAGAGCTTGCAAAGGAGACCGGAGAAAACAATCGGAGAAAACGACCGCAGAAAACCACCTGAGAAAACGAATGGAGAAAACCACCGGAGCAAACGGCGGAAATGGCGAGGAGCAAGTGACCGGAGCTCGTAAGGGAGAAAGGGATGGAGAAGGGACGAAGAAAAAGAGCCGACCACCGGAGCTTGCAAGGAGAAAGGGAGAAGAGACGAGGCCCGACGACGGAGAAACGGAGGACCGGCGACGGAGAAACAAAGGACCGGCGAAGGAGCTTCAAGAAGATGAGATTGCGCTTCAATGGGGAACAGCAGATCGAGTATGAGGGAGGGAAAATCAAAAAAGGGGATTGAAAAGTTTTTAGGGTTTGAAAAGTTTTGAGGGTTATTAATTTTGAACATTTAATCATAAAGGACAATTTAAGTCAGTTACAAATAAGTTGGTCAATCTCGTGTTGACTTTACTTTTTGTAACGGACAGAAAATGTCCGTTACGAATAATTTAGTATTTGTAACTGTCAGTAATTGTCCGTTACAAATAAAAATTTATTCGTAACGGGCAATAAGGTGCCCGTAACGAATAAGTATTTATTTGTAATGGACACCTTACTGCCCGTTACAAATACTCATTTTTTACGCGGATTGAAATTTTCTTCTAACGGACATTAATATTGCCTGTTACGAATGATGTTATTGTAACGGGCAACAACATGCCCGTTACGATTAACCCGTTACAAATTGACTTTTTTCCACTAGTATGTCATTCTCAGACATTATATCTCATGACGCAAGGCGGCATTGCCCCTGCGCTCTGGGAGGGAGTCCAATGCCAGACGCATGGCCTCCCAATTTGCCTCTTCATCATAAAGAATGACTCTAAGAGTCGGCTCGTAATGTTTGATGGGCAAGACGGCTTTAGCACCGTAAACCATGAGAAATGGGGTTTCACTGGTTGCCCCTTTTGTTGTTGTCCGGGTGGCCCATAAGACATGAACTAATTCTTCTGCCCATAAACCACCGGCTCTTTCAATCTTCTTCTTAATGTCGTCAGAGATGAGTTTGTTGAAGGCTTCAACTTGGCTGTTTACTTGGGGTCGGCTGATTGATACGAAACAGTTTGAGAGCCCTTGATCTCCCAACCAAGTCTTGAGCTGAGGCATCTCAAACTGAGGGCCATTATCAAACACCATGACATAGGCACCCTAAACTGGGTGATGATATTCTTACAAATGAAAGAGATGGCATCCTTTGTCTTGATGTTCCTGACCGCCTCCGCCTCCAACCATTTTTTTAAGTAATCCACAGCCACTAGAATGTAGCGTTTTCCGCCTGGTGCAGGCGTGTAAGGACCTACAATGTCCATGCCCCATTTAGCAAACGGGACTGGCATTGTCGTCAGATTAGTAGCCGGGTGGTGAATAAGTTTGCCAAATTTATGACATTTGTCACATTTCTTCACCAGCTCTTTGGCGTCTGCCTCAAGGGTAGGCCAAAAACAGTGCCTCTTGGCTCTGACGGCTAGGGATCTGCCGCCTATATGGGAAGTGCAGTATCCCCCATGCAAATCTTCGAGAACTTCCTTCCCCTTTTCTGGGGTAACACACTTCAAAAGAGGCTTCAGAAACCCCGAAGTTCGCCGCTCGCTTCTTCATGACGGCTGCCTCCTGTGGCGAATCAGGGAGCGTGTCGTCTATTAAGTAAGCCCGGATGCCATCCATCTAGGTAGAGCTTCGGTCCAGAATTCTAATGCGCTCTTCATATATGCTTCTTTTTTCAAGAACTTCCCAAAAGACTGACCGAGGCATATCACAACAGGCGGAGGACGCCAATTTGGACAAGGCATCCGCCTGGTTGTTGCCGAACCTGGGCACTTGGCTCAGAGTGAACCCTTCAAGTGTCCCGGCTTCTTCCTTGACCGCCTGAAGATATTTGATCATTATCGGATGGGTAGTTTCACATGTACCTTTGTAGTGGCTAACGGCCAATTGAGAATCAGAATAGGCGTCAATTTTTGTTGCCCCTGCTGCCTTACACATGCGGATTCCGACTAGCAGGGATTCTTACTCCGCCTCATTGTTTGAGGCCTGAAAGTTAAACCGTAGTGCATACTCATATTTGTCTCCTTCCGGAGATTCATAAATTACGCCTGCACCACAGCCGTTCTTTGTAGAGCTCCCGTTTACATACACTTTCCAAACCTGGTCAAGATTATCAGGAGCCACTGGACGGGTCATTTCAACAATGAAGTCGGCAAACGCCTGACCTTTCACTGCCTTTCTCGGTTCGTAATTGATTTTAAGACTTTGCATTTCAATAGCCCATTTTAACATTCTTCTGGATGACTCTAGGGTGGACATTAGCCGCTTGAGTGCCATATACAAAGCCATATACAAAGCAAGACAAAAATTTTCAACCCTTGGATATCGGAGTTCAGCATTATTGAGTACATAGCTAATGAAATAGACCGGGAGCTGGACGCCTACTTGTTTAGCAAGGAGAACGGCACTGAAAGCATGATCTCAGACGGCTAAGTACATGTACAACGTCTCTCTAGGCAGAGAACTAACGAGTCTCGGCAAGGAGTGCAAGTGCTCCTTCAGTTTTTGGAAGGCTGCCTCAGCATCATCCCCCCATTCAAATCTAGTCTTCTTCCTGATTGCTTGAAAGAAATAATGGCATTTGTCACCTGACCGGCTGAGGAATCTCCCCAATGCCGCCAGACAACCAGTTAATCTTTGAACTTCCTTGACAATACGGGGTGACTTCATGTCAATTACCGCCTGTATCTTCTCGGGGTTAGTCTCTATCCCCCTTTCATCAATCAGGAATCCGAGAAACTTCCCAGACTCAACACCAAAGATGCATTTATCAGGATTCAACATGACCTTATGCTGCCTAAGGGTGGTGAATTTTTCTCGGAGATCAGCAAGATGATCCATCTGTACCTTGGATTTTACTATCATGTCATCAATGTTCGCCTCCACATTCCTTCCAATTTGATTAATGAAGACCGTATTAATCATCCGTTGAAAAGTGGCAGGCGCATTCTTCAAGCTAAACGACATCACCGTATAAAAGAATAACCCCTGATTAGTGATGAATGTCGTCTTCTCTTGATCTTTTTTCCACAGGGGTATCTGATGGAAGCCGGAATAGGCATCCATGAAGCTCATAAAGGCGTGTCCAGGTGTAGAATCGACCAGACTGTCGATCTTTGGAAGCGGATAACTGTCCTTGGGACACGCGGGTTCATTCGGCTTCTTTACAACCACAACATTGGCCACCCAGTCGGAGAAATTACACGGCCGAATGAACCCAGCGTCTAGCAGCTTTCTAACCTCGGCAGCTGCCGCCTGACTTCTTTCCTCGCTGTGATTTCTTTTCTTTAGCCGGATGGGCTTCTTTTTTGGATCTATGGCGAGTTTGTGGACAGAAAAATCCAGGATGACGCCTGGCATCTCTTCCACTTCAAAGGCAAAATGTCTTTAATTCTTTTAGCAGGAGGTGCAAATCTGCACCCAACTTAGCATAAGCAGCCGTCCCCACCTTAACCGTACGCTCAGGACGGCTGTCATCCAAAGTGAGATCAATGTGCTCTCCAGCTAGCTAGGGACAGAGGTGCAAATCTGCACCCAAATTAGCATATGCAGCCGTCCCCACCTTAACAGTACGCTCTGGACGGCTGTCATCCAGAGCGAGATCAATGTGCTCTCCGGCTGGCTAGGAACGGAGCCCGTCTGACCGCTCTCCGGTCAGTGATTGCTATTTTTTCTCTTTCTTCACTTCCACCAGCTGAGCAGCTTTTCTTTCTTTTTTTTTCCGGCTGCTGGTGGGGCAGGGCTGGCATCCTTGATATTGTCAAGGTCTATTGGCTCCTGCCCTTGGCCGTCTAGGGCCACAATGTATTTGACAGCTGAGAGGTAGCACTCCCGAGCCGTCTTCTGGTCCCTGTTCAGGGAGCCAGCCAACAGAGCCATCATCCCTCTCATACTTGATGAGCATGAGAGAAGGGATAATTACAGCCTTGGCTTCGTTGAGGGTTGGACGGCATAAGATGATGTTATAGGCGGTCAGTTCCTCAACGACCAAGAATTTGACGACCAGGTTTCGTCCTTTTCCTTTTTCTCCCAGCCGGATAGGTAAGTCGATCCTACCGACTAGGTAAACCATCCCACCTCCAAAACCAACCAAGGGTTTGGTAACCGGATGCATGCTGCTGAGCTTATATTTCAGCTTTTACAGGCACCGGAGACTGATGATGTCCGACAAGCTGCCGGTGTCAATAAGGATTCGCCCAACCAGCTGGTTGGCGACCTTACATTCAATGACGACCGGGTCATCATGCGGACGGCGGACGCTGCCCCTGTCCTTCTCAATGATTAGAACGTATGGGAAGGAGGAGCTAGCTAACGCCTGCTCATCATCATCCTTGTCCATCTTTCGAAGATGGTCTTGGTGCCCCGGATGGTAGGGCCACCACATGAGAACCTGCCTGCTATGGTGTAGACCGACTCCTTATCGGTGTCCGAACTACTAGTAGGTTGTGGAGTCTTTGGACGACTGCCCCTTGTTGTTCTTATTAGTCCCTTTAGACTTAGAAATGTAGGATTTTAACATCCCTTTATTAGCCAGACGATCGAACGCCCGTTGAAGGCTGAAGCAGTTGTTGGTGTCATGGCCAACTTCCTCATGTTATTGGCAGATTTTGTTCTTGTTTTGTAACTGGGTGGAACTTTTCATAGGATTTGGCTTCTCAATAGTCAGTCGGTCCTTTATCTCCATGAGGATGAAGTTGTAGTCCTTGTTAAACTCGTACCTGGGGACGTACGATTTAAACTCTCTCTTTTTCTTCTGGGACGGCTGATCAGAATCACTAACCGCCCAAACTTCTTTTCTCTTCTTGTTCTCTTCTTTCTTTTTTGCCGGCTGAGCAGACTGGCTTTCTTTTTGCTTGTCAGACTTCTAGGAGTCTGACTGGCTACCAGCCGTGCAGAGTTCGGTTGCTTGACTATAGCTTTCCGCCTCCCTCAAGGCCGCAAGTAGCGTAAATGCCCCTTTTCTGACGAGGTAAAACTTAAAGTTCGACCCGTCTCTCAGACCCTTGAAGAAGTCTGTGAATGCTACCTCGTCAGACAGCCCTTGGATCTGGATTCTAACCAGGTTGAACCGCCTGACATATCAGGGTAGCCCTTCTCTCTCTCCCTGCTTAACGGTGCTCAAATCAAGGCTCGTTTTCTTAGCAGGGATGTTCATTGAGAAGTTTGTGGCAAACAAGAAGGCTAGCTTCTTGAAGCAATCAATGGAGCCGGCTGACAGATTGCCAAACCATTGTTGGACAATGCCCTTCAATTTAGCCGGGAAACATCGACACCAAGTGGCATCGTCCCACCCCTGTAGACACATGAGGTTGGTGTATGCCATTAGGTGGTCTTCTGGGTTAGAGGAAC